AAACTGGTATTTAATGGCAACTTAAGTTTCCGCGCATGTCGACCCTATTGACAAGCGGATGATATCGTCAACCATGTGGGTGCATCATACTTTTCACACGGTTGTATTCCACCGCTGCTTATACCAGGACGCGAATGACATAAATTCCCGATGTTCAGCAAACTAACGTTGAATCAGAAACCTGCCATTGCCGCCAAACAATTTATCGATCTACAGTGCCATGACTAGGAAAAAGCCATCCGATTCTAGAGTTATCATCCCTTCGACAGTAAAGAACAGTAGAAGAGTTGGCCGTCTTTGTGCACTGTCTTCTTCATAAAGTATAGTTGTACAGCATATAATTGATTAAATTAATTACGTGGAGCCAAAACCAAACACGTAAAATTGCATTTGTCCTAAAACTGTTTGACTTACTTTTCACCCTACTTTTTGACTTGCGTAATGCAGTAACTTAGCGAACTGTGGAAATCATTCCCCATTCTCGATCTCTTAACGCACTGCAAAATCTTTGAACTCTTTAGGTGACGTTGAACAACTGAATATTACGGTTTTACGCAAAGGAGCCATTAATTTGTTACAACGCTTACATTTCTGGTTGCTCACTGTCACGAACAGGTCATTTTCTTCGTACAAATCCTACACTTTTTGGAATCTTTCTTAATGCGATTACGCTACAGCCTGTACATGTTAATAGTTTGCCGATCTTAAAAAACTACATTTAAATAAATTCTCTTTCGCATATGTCAAAAATCAGCTCATAATGAAAAACAAAAACTGAGAATGCACGTCAGGTAAAAATATGACGGACAGCAAGCATAAAGCTTAGCTGAACTAGTTAATGATGCAGGGCAACCAGAGTTTAGCAAATCGCATTATGCCCTAAAATATATGTACCCTCAGCTTCCTGAAAATATGATTCTGGCCATTTATGTGCTTAACAGAAGATGGTAGCATTAAAAAATCTATCTTCTGCGCTACAGACCAAGGAGGACGATGCAAAGGCATTTGCTCAATGACGTCAAAAGCGTAGAAAGCGACATATTCCGCGTTAATGCACGGTGAAAAGGAAGAAATCTATTAAACTGACAGCCAATCTGATAAGTATCTCCTCCGTTAAAATAAGATTGCATATGTGATGAATTCTATTAAGAAAAATATGCTTTAATAATTTAGAAACGTGAAATCTAATAAGCAAAGGTCGTACAAAAACAAAAGAATTATTAAAACAGATATGAAAATACAAGCAGATCTTAAATACGTTTAAAAGAAGCTAGATGTGAAATAAAATTGCACTATGCACCTTACAACAGATCATGTGCTGTACAATTTATAGCAAAAACAAAAAGTATAAAAAAATTATGCTCTGGATTCGCCGTGTGAATCGGTCGATGACTTCACGTTTGCTTCGTGCGATACACCAGGAAGAGTTCGGCATGTAGCCTGACTGACACCTGTTGAATTGGCGTTATTTCTGCCGAATTCCCTGACACAAAGATGACAGCTCCAATTACCTAAACATCACGTCCATACAGTAAAGCTGATAAGATTACGTGTAAGACGATTAATAGCCTTGGAACGTGGCTCATCGATGAGCTAACAGGGCAAGGCTGTTCTTGAAAAATAAAAACTAATCGCAATAAATACCAGCTTCGTTTTTGAGCTGTGGAAAGGTAGTGCGTCTGGAGGTTGCGGATAATAAATGCGAGGATTACCTGCCAGTTCACAGAAGAATGGAACGAACAGACAATCAGGAAAATTAGACAGTAATTGTCAACCAGCAATCAGCATGGTTCCCCATCGCATGGCAGACGGCCAAAGGATGGATGATCGAGGCCCAAATAACTTAGATATGACACGGCATTATGTCACATTAGAATCCAACCCGTGGAGCTTGCCCTACTTGAGTGAGACCAAGAATTTTGTTAAAGGTTCGTGCGACTGCCTCTTTCCGATGTGAATGGAATACCGTGATGTGAATCTGCACCAGTAATGAGCTGGTAATGATGAGTTAATGAAAAAGGTTGGCATAGATAGCTGGAAAAAAATACTTCCAATGACGACGACCGGTATACGGATGGGCATGTACACCCCTGAATTAAATGAGAATGCCGTTGAACCCCAAAAAGTGACAGATGATCCAGAACCAGCTTTCGAATTGCACGTGATCGTCATACGACGTCGCTACCGCATTGTTGCTACTTCGAATTATTTAGAAAGCAACAATTTTTGGGATATCTCGTCAGAAAGTTAGTCATAGGTTTGTTGTAACATCTAACATGCAATATAAAATCAACCATTTTCACTGTAATATGAACGGTCTTTTGTAGCTGGTTTTCAGCAAGCTGTTATGGTAGTTTAGTTCATACCTGTTTGTATGATTTTTTTTATACCGCTGCTACTGTAATATCTCTAATTTTTGCTATTATATATTTTATTTATGTTGCAGGCTCATTTATATGCTTGTACAAGTACAAGTCATGATGATCACTGTACTTCTGAAAATTTCAAAACTGCTCACGGCGCTACAAAACTAAACAAACAGTAACCTTGAAACTGAATAAAATGCAAACGAACTTTAGAAGTTATAGGTGTGTCTTTCCTGAGGAAGTTTCCAGCGGACCTAGACACTATATAAACACATAATACAGAAAACAACTAAGTGAACAAATTTTTATCAACTTCAATTTAAAACACGCGCCAAGATCGACTTGAAAATCTCCTCGAAAGAGACATTAGTTCTAAAAATTACAACGAGCACTTTCAAAATATTGACATATTAGGATAAAAGAGTGACAGGGTAAATGCTCCTTAACGGAACTGCTGTTCATAGCGACAATCCTTCCGACAGTAGCAACAGTGCTATGTTCAACTACGAAAAACAGCACTCAAATGTGCTTACAACTTTCTCTTGGTGAAACACGTAAATACCTGGTTCACAACGACAGGTCGAAACCAACTGTCAGAAGGTTTGTTGGTGTTTTCCATGTCGAACAAAAGGGATGAAGTAGCTAAGGAGAAAAAATTGTCCTACATAAAGCAGAATGCCTCGTTTTAATGTGAACCAACTACTTTTATTACAATAGTGAGACGCTACGTCAATTAACTGCAGCTGATATAACGTAACTGAGTCGACGTCTGCAGGAACTTAACGAGTGTAACAACATGCAAACGATGGTACATGTCATGGACTACGATCACGTCTGTGCTGATGTGGGGACACAAGGAATAAAAGCGATAGGTGCTATGATACCAGGAGATGTGACGTGTTTAAAAGGATTCCAAGACCATTAGAAGGGAGTAATGAAGAGAAAACGCTTTGAGAATCCGGAGGATTGAGAAGTGAGCATATGTTTAACTGGTGGTATAAAAAACTTCGCTTGGAAGCACAGAATTCAACGAATTTCTGTCATATATATTACACATATTTCCGTATTATGTTATTCCAAACTGCAGTACCGAAAAATAACATTCTTTAGCAAACTCACTTTTGAATTTGGTTAATATTCTTAGAGCAGCTACTAATATTGCTGTCATTTAGTCAACCTTACCTTCCGGAGGAGAATAAAGCTTCGGACATAAACAGTACATATGAAATCCGCGATCACAATCGTCGCAGAACAGCAGCTGGTCCTAAAATAAGGCATAAATAAATTTAAGCACAACATCTGAATTATAAGCTAACAACTGAACGCAGCAAAACAAACCGTAAACCCAAAGGCAAAAATATATATGACATCAACATGAATGGCTAGCTTGCAATAGCTGTTGGTAAACTATGTATGTTGGCTAATTTAATGTAATGTTAACTGCTT